CCCTGAGCGTCCCGGAACGTTCATTTAACTCCCTTGATGCAGTTTCGAAATTTCAGCGGTTATAGCGTACCTAACTGAAACGAGCGGGAGCGAGCATGGTAGTATGCCTCCGGAACTTCGTCAGCCTTCAGGGGATGTACGTCTAATTTCCGGATCTCCCTCGTTTCCGTAGCTTTCGATTACTCAAACCACAACTTTCGAGTAAACTCAACGCAACTCGTATTTCATATACGTGGTTTATGTGAGAATATGGATTAGCTGAAGGGAAAATTCACGTCCGGTAGCAAAGATAAAGCGCTAGGTTGGCGTACTACTTCTCGATAAGAAAAAAGTGTTTTTCTAAAGGAATTTTCTCATCGGAATTATCCAATCTCCTTGTTAAGTATTTCTCCATAATTTCCACACTTCCGATGACAGAGGATATCCGATGCCGATACCTACTGGGCTTTACTGCCTACCTCTCTCTCGGTGACTAGACCGTCGTCAAGCTCGGCGATTTCAGTTCTGCACAGTTCACAGTGATAAACGGAGCATAACTGCAAAAGAAAAAGAGAGAGAAAAAGAAGTATACATGCAATGATTCTGATGGATCATGTACCAAGTCCCCGGAGCATCCTTGATTATAGTCAAACTGGTGGGGTGCTCCGCATTGCTTGCATTCAAATCAATAAACATGGCTCGGAACTCAGCGCCTACTATATAGCAAACCGAAGGCTTTCGCACCGAGCTGCCTGATCAGCAGGGCTTCCAGCGGGAGTAGGGGGTCAAATGTAAGCGCTTGAACTGTCAAGACGCTTTGGGCTCGTTGACGTTGAGCATGATCCGTACATCCGGGATCATGTGTTGACGCTCGTTATCTGATTTGCTCCTGGGAGAATTGCAACTTTGCTACGAACGTTCATCATCCCTTCAACAACGACGAAAAAAAAAAGATCTTTTTTTTTTTTTTCAGAATCGGTTGGAGTTCTTTTAGCTTCTCAATTTCGAGATAGAAAATGCTCATCTACGTCGAAATCTTGCAGGACACGGACACCTTGGATCGATTTATCATGGCAACAGACCCTTTCACCCACCTCTCAAGATACCCTCTGAGCTTTTATCTGATATATTCACCTTCGCGGTAGAGAACAATCGCTTCGGTTGGTGCATGGACTTCTCGATGGGCAGTAATCAGGCATGGTCATTGGCCGAAGATATGCTCAACTTGGCGGTTCCATCGCCCCTCGAAACTTCAGAAATCTGGGGGGACGCATTTGAATTTCTAGACGACATTTTCGTTGTGATAAATACGATGCAAGGCGCGAGAACAAGCAGGATTGAAGAACATGTCTCGAACGTGCCAAGTCTTTTTTCCCTCTATCTCTTAAACTCAGATTCCTTACCATGGGCACGACCACAACGGGAGATCCAACGGAGGAACATACGGGCTTGTGACGCTTCCTGATGGAACAGAAAGTCTGTTTGGGGAAGTTTAACGGTTCATATGGCCTCCGTTCGAGTGAGAATCTCTAGCACTGTCATTGCGATGCTAAGGAATAATCTTTTTGATTATGGGGAGCACATGGAGCCTTGGCAGGGGAAAGATAGATTCAAAGTCTAGATCTTCAAAGCCACTTTTTATCTCTTTACACAGCCCCCAACGAGAACTTTCACGAGGTTTGATACTCCAGTCTTTCCTTATCATCAACTCACCCACCACTTCCTGCGACTTGTTACGTCCTTGTCGAAACCTTCGGTTTCCGCATGCTTCTATTGCCACCTTCACTCCAGTCTCCCAGTCTCCACTCAGCTCCTTCCAATTTCACCTCCTTTGCTAACTTTGCTAGGTGATTCATGCAATTGTGCCGTCTAAAGACATGGAAGCCACTTGACCTTCCCAACCTCTTCGGCGCACTCACATTGTCATCACTCAAGTCCCTTTATTTGGCAGACTCAAAATCTTGACAAGGATCTACTTTTGATTTTTTTCAGCGTTAAGGGTAGCTACGAAAAACGGAAACGGTGGCGGTGTCTTTTCTCCATTCGCATGGAGGGTCACCACAGGGCTGAAAGAGCTACCCGATCGCGTTTTTGCAAACGGTTAGCGAGCGAACATTCGAGGGATTTATGAGGTCTCCACTCATATCCTGGAAACTCCAGTTAGCTACCAATCATCAAACGGTTTATATCGTTGTCTCGATTGACATACGTGGTTGAATGAGAAGATATGGTAATAGCTTGTGGGGTCGACTCGGTACTATTGGAGATTCGACGGTTCTTCCAAAAGACTGGTGATGATCCGTTTGGGACTCGGAGGGGTGGAAGAGGCTTCAGGGTCACTGGCAGGGTGGCGTTAGGCAGGGTCTACCGTTCTGGTCCATACGGCACATAGGTCATTGACTTCAATTCCTAAATACCCTTTGGTTATTATGAACCTTAGTAACGATTCTGATTTTTCGGAGTAACCTTTTTGAAGGAACGGTGGGAAAAAAAGAAGTTTCCGGGCTCTCTCAATGGAATAGAGAGAAGGGTGGTCACTGGTATTTTGCCGATCCTGATTGCGTGAAAGAGATCCCTCGGCTTACAATGCAGCTTTGAGCCGTGGTTTCGTCCGAGGAGTCGGTACAATGAGAGCAACGTTCTCCGTTAGTTCGAAACTTTGATCACGCGAATCACGCGGGCCATCGAGGAGCATCCCATGACCAGGCACGAGTCTTCATTTGAATATTTTCTCCCACGCCAGCTCCATGGACTCCCTCAGGTGACTCTTGTACCTGGCGACTTGCTCCCGTCTCTCCCTCTTCCAACTATCGAACGTGGACTCGACGAAGCTTGATAGCGGTCGGTGTTTCTCTTGATCTCATTTCAACAGATGCACGATACCACAAAGCTACAAGTCTTGCTGACTGCACCGGCCAAGGACCGCGGAACAAGGAAAGTTATGAATAGCCAGTCAGGTGCGAGTGCTGATTCTGCCACATATTTCACCTCTGACTTCAGTAACGCCTTCGACATCGATTCACTCGGGTTTCCTACCTATCTCCATTTTACACAGCCTCTACACGTAGACCAATACGTCATACAAATAACCGCCTCCTTGCAACCGGTGACGCTCCGACAAAGAAATCATCTCTCTCTTTCTCTCCCTCTCAGTCGCGTATTGAAACACTCGTTTCTGTATCGCTGTGGCCTGAGCCACCGAGCATCGTCATTCCAACCCTCACTAATTCGCTACACCAATTCGCATTCCCAAAGAAAACGCACCGTAGTAAAGGGTGACGGGAGGGGAAGTCAATGAATCGGATTGAAGGTGGTCGGTACGTGCAAACCATTCCGTTCCCTCGTGACATTGCTCATATTCTTACAAATCGTTGGATCCTTTTCGGAAAACTAGTTTAAGAATGGACTGGGTCCGCTGAGAACGTGCCTCCCTCTTCGATCCCACTTCGCTTTTCTGTGAACAAAAAACGTCGTAACCCCCCTACATTGAATGTCCCGGGAGGACAGTGCTCTGTCGTCTGGTAATGTGCGTAATCCGTATCAGCTTTGCATTTCTCCACTGGGTTAAGAAGAAAATCAGTTCCAGAGCCATCTCCATTTGCCGTTCAACTTCAATGGGACCCGTCGGTTTTTGGTTTCGTCGACCTTCGGTCTAGAAGGCGCCACCACTGGAGGTTCAAGTGGTGGCGGACACATTCCCGTTGACATGACTCTACTCTCAAACGACTCCGTTGTATTCTATACCCATGAACGAACCCTTCTCCAAGCATCGAACAACTCTTTCCGAAACCTGCTTCCCCTTCAAACTGGGACGGAATACGAGGAAAGAGTCGTTTTTTTGCCCGACATTGCGTCTCCCGAGTTAGAAATCATGCTTCTGGCGGTTCATAACGTTCCCGCAAGCAGAAACGGTTCGATGGGTATTCAGGTGCAACCTGTCATGAGAGGTATCGATTTTCTGTCTGAATATGGGATTACACCCAGCACGTGTATCACTCCGGCGTCTCATCTCTACCAGCATATGCTATTTTTAGCTCCTTTTCATTCTTTGGAGATCTTCGCAATAGCTGCGCAGTACGGATTGGTATCTCTTGCGGTTACAGTTTCAAGTCATACCCTCATGCACGATCTTTCACAGCTAAGCGATGATCTTTTGAGAAGGGCTGGCGCAATCTATGTCTTGCGTCTTCATCAGCTACATATGGAGAGATTACAAACGTTGAAGATGTTGTTGACCGCAGAGTTGGGACTCCATAATCCTACCCCCGAGTGCGATTTTGTCAGCCAGAAGCGGTTGAAGGAGATGTGGACTATCGCTGTGGCTAATTTATTGTTTCTAACCAAACCTGGTGAGTTCCTTTCCGTTTGTTTCCCAACTCGATGGTTAATGTTATTGAAAAGATACCACGACGACCCTTATCAAAGAGAAGATTACCGAATATACATCTGCATTGACATGCCCAGATTGTCTTCGGCTCAGAGACAATCAGCTCAATAAAGTTATTTCTGAATGGTCGGTGACGAGGGTGAGCTTTGCCCCCCCCCCCCCTCTTTTCCCCTTCCGTTCAAACTGATTAACCGTATCTCACAAAGCGCACGATTATCGTTTGAACCACGTTCTTCGATGTGGAGGTCGCAGGTAAGAGATAGGAATGGGCGGTCAAGTGCACGTATGGGTGTGATTAGACAGAGAGATACGACTCTTGTCGTAATTTATATTGTTTAGTGACAAACACGCTATGTTTTCTATCTTGAACCCGAACGGTCCTGCCAAGAGATCTTAATACAAAGGGCACCCTAACAAGATCTAAGGCTGGGGCCTCCGAGAAATTAATGATCGACTCGAAAGATTCCTACAGCCGACTCCGACATTTTTGAACTCCAATGAAGCATCTATAACAGAATAAAAAAAAGGCACGATACCGCCCAGCTAGACAACGTCCAAGTACTACTGCCAACCACACCTGCAAGGACTTATCACAGTGTGCTCAAAAAGGAAGATCGCTCGAGGAAGAGAGAGATGCCGGTTGGCTGGATTGAACAACCGACCTTTGCATTGCCACAAATCGGTACAAGTGCAACGCTCTACCACTAAGCTAAACCGGCGGCTGCCCTCCATTGGTCAAGTTCACATCTAGACCTATCGCAAAGCCCGAGCCAATCGGGAAATTCCTGCGAAATAAAAACAAATGATTATCGGTTTGGATCTGTTGATTATCTTTCGTTATCTAGCCGAGCGTTTTTCACGGCGAGTCGGTTCATACGAATACACTTACCAAGTCTGATAAAGTACGTTGAGCCCTCACTTTTCACTTGTCAGCAAACAGAGCATCGGTATTGCTCTTGTACGCCGAAAAAGCCGTTTTACACGGTGATCCGATAAAACCGTCGGGACCATGGGGAGATATTATTAGAATTGTTTTACTTGCCAAACACGCCTTTCCCACTCCCTGAGCGCCTCGAGAAAGAGATGAAATCACTGTGGGGCCACGTCTCGGTTGAGTTTCAAAGCGATTATGGGCGTGAGTCACCGAGTGCGTCAAGAAAATATGATTGATGATGGGGTACTGATGAGACTAATACAAGAGACGCAGGGGGAAGTCCACCAGTTCCGAATAGTAAATCTTCGCCACAGGGCATTCGGGTGTGTGTGTAGTGGGGCTGTACCTTGGGCCCATCATCTCAACTTGCGAAGGATCGCTCTTTTCCTTGCTCGTTTCCAGCTGGAGCACCGTACGGTTGAAGATTTTTCCCCCGGTACTAGGGTTTACCCCATTTTTCATATCCCGGATAATGATGTCAGGTAACTTTGGACCGCTCAAAAGTATTGTGATATTGAACGTTCGTAAGTCTAGGACTTTAACGGTCAAAGCGCCCATCCCCCGCTCATAATCTGGAACGTTGGCGGCCCGCCCCTGCCTGTCACCCTCTACGCTCTGAGCCTCTTGTCAATCCCTTGCTTTTTGTCGTCCCTCACGACCTCTTTCTTGACCCGCGATCGGTCTGTTTTCCTGTAGTTCTGGTTTTTCATGTTTCCTTTTGAGCCCTGAGGTACGGTATTGTGACGAGGTTTTGATATCTGTACAACTTCAATTCGGGTAGACACGCTCGGATAGCTGTTGGGTTACCGAAAACTATTTTTTTTCTTTACAACGATCGGGTCGCATCCCCTTGCTTGCCTTTTGCGGCGCATCATCACGATGTGCAACACTCGCTTCGGTGTCCCCGGATCGAAGCGCAGAAGAACTTGGGCAGTGAAAGTGTTTTTTGTTTCCAACCGCTGAATCGTTATTGCTGTTTCAAGCTGTTGCTGGTGTATCACAGGGCTTTTCCTCCATCTGTATTCGGCGTTGGGCAACTGTTCCCCTGAGCCGTATGCATATTGATCACCTGAAGGGCCGTTAACAACGTATCTGGACCTCTCGGGCTTTTTGTAACACTCAAACTTCTCATCGGAGTCCAAGACGCCCCGTTTAGGGATATCTAATGCCAAAAGTTCCGTCTAAATATATCATCTCAGGGTTAAAAAACTCCGAGAACGGCGCACATCTCTGTTCTGAGAAGTGGTTACATTTACCTTGCCATCTCAGCGAGCCATGAGACCCTGGATTGCGTGTTTTTTTGTTGATGAAATTTCATTGCTGACCTAACCGGTGACCCTCTAGATCCGTTGGACTTGCTGCGGGCCAGAGTCTCTCAACTCTCAGGCGCGTATTTTATCTTGAAAGTGTCAGCCGGTATGAAGTTCAACACCGGAACTTCCATAAGATCGCGTCTCTCTACCGCCATCGACTCAAACGATACGAATATGTATTTTACGAGCGCTGCCCTAATCCTTCGTCAACATCGCCTTAGTTCACGTATCGTTGGGTTTGTACGGCCCCTCCTATATCGAACATCCTAGTAACATTTTCCCTTCCAACCGCTCTCAGGCACCCACCACCAGCTCCACGATAGTCCTCCGTGTTGAACGTCAACCATATCGAGGCTACCTACTGAGAGGAATACAACATCATCTGTAGATGTAGGCGAGTATGTAGGTAATTAGTTTCGAAATCTTCCTACCCTGTTTCACTCTATAGGGTCAAATGTCCCAAAACAGTCAATTCCAGTCCATTTTTAGCCTTCTTGAGCAGGCTTGGCGATCAAAATTTAATCCCGAGGTGAGGTGAAAACGCTAAAACAACTACGCCTCCTGTACACTTACGAACGTTCCAAACAGGACCGATAACGGGTCGGGAGGGCCACGCCTCTCCCAAGCTCTGCCATGATTAATATATGCATTAGATGGGTTCTCAGCGTCCCCCCAATCCGTTGGCCCTATCATATTCACAGTGTTATGAATACCATGACAGTTCCCCTAGCGCCCCCTTAGGCCTCCGGCCAAGCTCGGGGAAATGAACTAAATAGATTGAGGAACCCGCTCTATTAGTGCTGAGATATTTACTGTCCAAACGAGCATACCATTTCTCCAAGCTGAAAGGAAACGGCTCAGAAGGTCCTATTCGATGGACATCTTGATTAGTGATGAAGTCCTTTCTCAAACCAGTGTCCCCGTGTTCCATATCGGTCGTGTCGTGATCAAACATCCTCGAAACCAGCTGGCAACTATGTATCATTTTTTTTTGTTTCGCGATGACCTCATTCCGAGGACTTGACCGACACTCACGTCAATCCATTGATTAAATTCTTTTTTTCAATTGTGGGACCTTGAGAAACCCACGAGTAGCCCAATCGGGCTTCGGAACGGTCCGCTATAATTTAACGATCACTTTAAAACTCTACCCATGCTAATGTCAGTTGCGCTCAAGCGCATGGGATTATGGGTAGATCGTGGACAGTTATAGCGTCAGGCACCTTGCAACTCATGGATAATCCCCTCTAATTTGAGAGGAAATGTTCCGTAATGCTATGCTCAGCTCAACCTAACAGGTTTTATGATGAGTGTCATGGTGCCCGCCAGCGAACTCTCCGGATGACAACGACCTATAGGGTCTCCTCCTTAGAAGCGCCTATGCGATACAGATAGCGCTTAAGTCTTTTTGCTGTTGCCTGCTCCAGGGCGCTTTCCCCCTACAGCGGCGCAACAGCAAATCTCCATGCCACTTGACAGAGTTATATGCGGCGCGGGCATCCTTAGTGTCACAGTAGTCATCCGCAAAATACCGCCCGCCCAGGCCCCAAACACTCAAAGAATCTTTGAGCGCAGAGCGCCCGAAAGGTCGCGGGAGAATATCTGAAGGGGATTCTGATGCCGTTCTGGTGGTCTCTTGAACACACACCTTCTGACGTGAGGGACAAGTCTGTTGGCACGTGCACATATATCGCCCATGCTAACCTTGTCCCTTGTTTTGTGATAGAAAACCGATGAAGTGCTCGCTAAAATGAAAAAACGCGGCTGCGGGTCAAAAAATTTTAATGAATTGGGGGAGGGGTGGACCGGGATTTGCTGGGGGCGTCTTCGGAGCGGAGGGGGCTGTTACCCCGGTTCTCCCGGTAACCCAGAAAAAATTAAAAAATATTTGGGCGCTCTATATCTCAATGGGTAAATTACATATTCTCGCCCGATTAATCAGTTATCATTTGCGAGGAAGGCCGCTCAAAAGGAAAGGCGTATTTAAAGAGCGCTGGGTGTGTTTTAGCCTTCCCTTGTGCTCCCCTTGACAGCCCCCCCGTTGCTGCTGCTCGAAGGCTCTGGTCCTCCCGGTGTCAAAAATAGCCTTCCTCACGTCGCTATGCTCCACAGTACGATGTCCTCTACATACACGAGAATCACGCTGAGTGCAACGGGTCTTGCATTGGTATGTTCTGGCTATTACCCATTTTTTACTCATTTCAACAATTTTTCCCAACTTTAGGCAAACCATTTAGTTTTCAACCATCAAGAACCCAACAAAAAGACATTTTATCGCACGGTGGCTCTCTTAATATCTGAACCTTTACTCCTCTACGCATTCAACTACCCGTTCCTATCCTGTCCCGGACACTTGCGGCTCATCGTCTGGTCTTACATCACGTTTTTCTCCGTTCTATCGGCTTCAATCGTTCTCTACCGCCTTTCACCATTCCATCCGCTCGCCGATGTGCCTGGACCAGCGTTGGCAAAGGTGTCGAAACTATACGGTATTTGGATTTGGTTGAAGGGTGAAAGACATATTCGATACAAAGAGATGCATGAAGAGTATGGCCCCATCGTTCGCATCGGTGAGTCCCCTCCATCGAAAATCCCATATTAGGACGGGTTTTTTTGATGGTTCCGTTATAGCGCCGAACGAGATATCCGTTATTGATCAAGACTCCATGAAAGCGGTGCTGGGACCGGGAGGATGTATCAAAGGTCAAGGTCCGTTTGTTCCGGTTTGATCTCAGTTGAGACGACATCTTTGTTCAAGTGCGAGACATTTAACAGCATACTCCACTCGAAGGGATGACCGAACCGAAGGAAGTTTGTTGGCTTTGACGGGAGAAGCTCGCATTAGACGTCGACGTGTATGGGCAAGAGGGATGAGTTGCGAAGCGATTAGGGAGTATGAACCTGTAGTTCGTCAGCAGGCAAGCAAGCTCTTTGAACGTCTTTATGAGCGGACGTATAAGGTGGTGGAGCTGGGGGAGTGGTTCAACTACTTCTCGTACGTATGCTTTTTAAGCCCGTTAATCCCCGTTCATTGAGTTGATTTCATATTTCTAGCTTCGATTTCATTGTCGAGGTGGCATTCGGCAGTGGATCGTACATGTTGAATGAAGGTGACAAGACCGAGTTATGGGAGGCAATGGACAAATTTGCCTAGTGCGTTAAGCCGCTCTTTCCCCACCAGAGCGATGTCAACTGAACGAATGTTTGACAGTGGAATAGAATTCCTTTCCCATGTTCCCTGGTTATTAAACTTCTTCCGAGATCTGCCCATACCGAAGCCAGCTCTTCGGATACGAGATCTTGGACTGGCACTAGCTACGAAACGAATGCAAGACGGAGCAAAAAGAAAGGATTTGTGGTACCATCTTGTGAGTTGTATTAGATGTTTCAATCAGTAAACTGTGCTCATTTTTCCCTTCCAGACCGATGAAGCAGGCCTGGAGAAAGTGAAACCCTCTGCCGGCACTGTTGC